TGAGGAACATGCTAGATACATCTAAGTGTATATCCAAAATTCCAAGAGGAAAATGGAAAAGGGATTGTGATGTGGCCATCCCCTAGGAGGCCTATCTATGTGTCTCTCCCCAGCAAACTCATGCACCCTATAACAAATTAAAATAATAGGTTAGCCTTCTAGAATTTGAGGGTGAGGAAGACCTGCTGTTAAAGGCCTCTTCATTGGGATTGGCAGATGGCATAATGATTATATCACTAGACTCTCACATAGTTGATCACAGTTTGAATCCTGAGCCTAGCAGCTTAAAACTCACGCCAGGTGCATGTGCCTACGGGCTGCAAATCCCAAGAGGAGAATGGAAGTAAAGGGATTGCAATGTGGCCATCCCCCGTGGGGGGTGACTTCTTGCTTTCTGTCTCTCTGGCAAGCACACACACCCTATAGCAAAAATCTCTCTACAGAAAAACAAACAAAAACAATAAAATCCCTCTTCATTATGGGCGCAGGACTGTGCTCCCTGTCCCCCATACCTTCATCCCTTAGCTGTTTCAGAGTGGCCTCGTTGCTCAGTGAGAGGGTCTGCAAGGGGAGACTGCTACCCTAGGTGGTCCCAGAGCTTCAAACGAAGGACTCAAGAGGCTCTGTTGTGGACCAGCAGGTGGCATGGTGGATAAGGCAACATCCTTGGCCAAGTGTGCAGTTCAAGTCCCAGATCAGCTAGAGGAGAAGGGACCGTGCCATGGCCATCTTCCCAGGGGGTGATTTCTCACTTTCCCTCTTTCTCTCTGGCTCTCTGCTACAAGCACATGTACCCTATAGCAAAACTAAAAAATAGTCTACTGTCACCAGGCTCACCCTGCTGCTGTCTTTCTGAACTGTTTGCTTATTAGAAACCCCAGATCTGTCTCTGATACTCTGGTACTCTTCTGCCAAGTTCCCTCATTTTCTAACTATGCCATTGTCTTTTTTGTTTGTTTGTTTTTGCCATAGGGTGCGTGCGCTGACCAGAGAGGTAGACAGGCAGAGACAGGAAAAGTGAGAAATCATCCCAGAGGTGATGGCCACACCACAATCTCTATTCTTCCATTCTCTTCTCAGGATTTTAGGCACACACATACATCTGGCATGATTTTCAAGCTGCCTGGTCCGGGACTTGAACCACAGTTGGCCATGTGGGAGTCTAACACCTTAACCATCATGCCATCTGCTGGCCCTGCCATTGGCTTTTTAAAAACTGTTTCAGAATTCTCATCAGCTTTTACCAAAGTTTCAAAGGATGGGAAAAGCCATGAGCTAGAAGCCCGTACTGCCATTCCACTGATTTGCTACATGAATTGGAGCAAGTGTCTTCCCTTCTCTGGGTTTTTCTTTATTGCAACAAGTTGAACTCGTTCAGAACCCCTAGTAAGCAGGCTCAGTGATCAATCAGAGTTTGTGGAGTGAACAATGAATGGTTTCAAGTGCACTGGGCCCCTCTCTGCCATCTATGCCCCAAACGGTACAGGATGCCCTTTCTTACCATCGAGTCATCTAGAAAACTACCATCTGTGCCTTCCCTTCAGGAAGGCAAGAGGTATTCCATGCACAAAAAAACCAGCATGTGCAGGGCCGGCTTGTGCGGAGTAACACACCACTGAAACGATGCTGGATCCATATGGAAGACTGAGGCTGTGGCTCCTTGGTTGACCTATAAGTGCATGCCCATGATCCTGGCCTGGAAGGCTTGGGTGTCATAGCATGAAACCCTGTTAGGAGTTGCTCTCTCTTTCTCAAGAAGTAAATGGAGTTAGCCCGTAGCCTAGTAGTTGAGAGCCACAGGCTGACCTCAGTTCCAGTCCCAGCCCCATGAGAACCATACCCATCATGTGTGGGTGTCTGTGTTCAGGCCCCAAATCCTGACAGGATAGAGAAATGGAGAAGGGATAGCAGCGTGACCATGCCCCGTTGGCTTCCTCCAGCCCCTGCCATTTCTCTCTCTCTGGCAAGTGCATGTGCCCTCTGGCAATTAAAAAATAAATGAAAAGAACAGCGTGTGCAAAGACTTCAGGTGCAACACTTGGTTCTGTCCTCACAATGACGAGGCCATCAGCACCCCTAGTGGGAGAAGCTGAAGCTGAGAGGAACTAAGCACTCGTGCAGGTCATACAGCCGGTGGTGAAGTTGAGACTGGACACACGTCTAACTCCAAAACCACTTTGCCATTCTCAGAGAACAGTGAAGTGACTTGCTGAGATTGGAGTAGACAGACAGAAGTGACTTGCAGAGATTGGAGTAGACAGATGCGGAGCAGGAGAGCGGGGAAGGCAGAGGCATGGCAGAAGTGAGTCCTGAGAGCAGAGATCCATTTCTGCAGTGCCCATAAGTCATATTCAAGCATGCAGACTTTGTTCTGAGGGCAAGGAGGGCCTTGGGAGGGATTTAAAGAAGGAAAGACACGATCAGACTTGGGTAGGAAAGATCATTGTGGCTGCAGGAGGATGGATAGGAGAATGAAGGGGCAGGCTGCTGTGATCCCAAGTGAGAGGCGGCGGTGTGGGGTTAGGGTGACGGCTGGCTACTGGAGGGAGGGAAGTAGATGACTAGACAGAGGATGTAAGACCTGCAGCTCATACCCGACTAGCTTCAGGGAGGGAGTAAGGGAGAGGCCAGGCAGTAAGCACAATTCGATGTTGGGGGACACTGGAGGGAATTATGGTGCTGGTTTGAGACCATGGGTAAGCAGCAGCTTAGGGAGAACAGTAGTTGGTTATTGGATAATCAGAATTTGTTCATCTGGAAAGATGTTCAGGAGGCATTTGAGTGTGTGCTCTGGCGCTCACGAGAGAGGTGCAGGCTGGAGATGCTCTTCTGGGGCAGCTGAAGCTGAGGGGTTGGGTGAAGTCTCCCAGCACTTGCAGGGGGGGAGAGGTCAAGGACAGAGACCCGGCCATGCGGACTCTTTTTGCCAGGCACAGGTGGGAGACCAGTGTTTGCCCACTGGATGGTGGTGGCCTGGGCGTCGGGGCTGGGACGTTTACTTGGGCCAGGGGAGGCAGATTGAGCAATTTGTCCAGCAATGAGGGAGGAGCCAGATGAAGTCAATAGAAAACTAATTTTCTTTTCTGCTGGAAGAAATGAGGTGTGTGGCCGCTGGGTAATTGCAGATAACGAGGGGACTTATTCTTAATATGCACAGCGACCATGGTCCCTAGAGTGCAGGAGATAGGAAGGATTGGAGGTGCCCTGACAGGGCCAGGCTGCTTTGGGAATTAAATCACCCTGTCTTAGCCCCTCCAGTGGTGCCATCACAGCCCCTCCCCCCAGGCCCCATCCTGTCCCATTACCCCTCCTGTCCACCGCCCACCCCCCCCCCCTACACACCCC